ATGCAACAGTCACTTATCTCAAAGATAAAATACAGTGAAATCTCTTTTTTGCTTTCCTTCAAACAAAAAAACACAATATGAAGCAGTTTACGTTATGTTGTTCACAAAAAAAACAATACCTATCATCGATGCCAGCTTGGGAGGGGGCTGTTGCACAGGAAACTTTGCAAAAATGGAGCGGCTGACATGCTGAGGATTATACTCCAATTCTGCCTCGGCCAGAGCTGTTCTGCATGGAGGTGATTCGTGTTAGTAATGTGTGTAGAAGAGCTATTCAGCACAGACTCTCCAGCTGTTAATGGACTACGATTCCCATCATTTAATGATGGCCAACATCTTGTAAAGAATTATTGGAAATGTAATACAACAGCAGCTGGAGGGTCAGGGATAGACTCTATTGATATTCAGCATTATCATAGTGCCATACAGCTTTGAAATGTACCAACTCAACTATTACTCTTTCATTAAATGAATACCTACAAATTGACAATAGTAAATTCTACGTATGGAGCTTGACAAATAGCAAACTTTCAGATGGCCTGAAGGATGATTTTGCCTGTAACATCTCAGAAAAGGTTTTCAGAGTTATTCACCCAAGTGAGAATTTGAAGTGAATTTCACATTTAACCCCTTAAGGACACACGACATATGTGACATGTCATGACTCACTTTTATTTCAGAAGTTTGGTCCTTAAGGGGTTAAGGTAAAAGTAACTAAAATTTAAATATTCTGTAAGTCGTCTATATTTTCAATACAGCTTCTTTGGTCTTATATTTGAAATTCACTTTGAATTGTAACTTGAATTGAACAAGAGCTTTGTTCAGCCATCCCATTCTTAAACATCCCACCAGTTCTATCATATCTGTGACTTGTTACATCTGCCTGTGTTGGTCTGTGATACATGGCCCAATTACACAAAGTCCTTAAATGGCCAACAATGGTTCAGGATTTTTGGATTATGTAGCTGTCTAATGAGGGGGAGTTCCATCAAATTTGAAGCTTTGGTGTTCCTTCTTAAAGACTGGTTTGAGAAGCTTGACATTCTACATTAGAAGTTAAAAGCTACAACATGTGATAAGGGAAGCAACTGGGATTTGATAATATATTGGTATTGAATTCCATTTAAAAGTTTTTTCCCAAATATATTTTTATTGAGCATTTTTCATTCATTTTTTTTCAAAGTTTGTTCTATAAATACAGAATGTTTCTCCTGAAGACTCTGATTAGTAAGAAAAGAAAAGAAAATATCCTCACCTTGTTGAAGGCGACCAAAAGACAGGTTTATAATCCTGGTATATGAGACCCTAGAATGGGGTGAAATGTTTTATGAGTCATGCTAAGTTATACAAATTTAGCATCATATTAAAAGAAATACATTTAAAAGCACATTTACATACTATCCATCTAAAACTATATTTTTATCTGAAGGGAAACGGTTATTTCTCATGATTTTATGAGGTCTGAAATTAAAATATAATATAAAAGCCCACAAATATATCAATGAAACAGATTCCCTCCATCTTGGCTGCCAATCCATCAACATTATAAATATCGCCCTTTTCTACCGTTAAACATAGTTATTGAAAGAGGAAAAACAAACAATTTTTCTGTTCTCCTTATTTGCATTGTGATTTCACTTTTTAAAATATTTACGATCAATAAAACATTTTTTTTTTTTTAAAAGCATTACATAAAAAATTGGTTAACACACGTCACGGGTGAATTTCTATGATTTATTCCGTTGTGTAATTTTTACTGAAGTGACAGTTCCACTAAGGAATACTCCAAGCACCGCTAACACCAGAGAGCCAGAAGTTCCTAAATAGGAATTTCCGTTTGCTCTTCTGAGCTGGGTCCTAATGCTATGCTCTAAGGCAGGCCAATGCTCTCAGGGAATAAGCTAAGGCAACTTCTTATGCATCAATAGTGGAGGTGGGGAACCATGCCAAAGCAGTCCTCAGGAAAGAAGTCAAACCAGTTCACAAATGGTGTGACTCCTTACCCTAGAGCAAGCTGTAGTGGTTATGGTGCTTGGAGAGTTCCTTTAACACAGTTTTCTCATCTTTTCATCTAATGTGTAGATTTGTCAAGGAATCCAGTAGCCAACATGGGCACAAAAGGTCTGAATAGAAAGATGACACATGCCCATTCAGTGCAGAATGTTTATCAACTAAACAGTGCGTTGAGACAAGTTGACAGCAGAGTTTAAACATATTTCCAACTAAGCTTGTTTGGACTTTGGTCTTCTCATCAAACCAATAAATGGTACAAAGAAATAGGGGATGATAAGGTTTGACAAAACACCTATGTCTTAAGGGCATTAAAATGATCCATGCCATCCTAGCAATGGTGGGCTTTAGCAAAGTTAGTGCAGCACGGAACGTACTAACGTTTTAATGTGAGCATGGTTAAATCCCTGCTTAATCACTACCTGGTGCCCTCCTCTGTCAGCTGGACCATATTTGGTGGCCCCAGACTGACCAATGAGATGTATGCAATGCTCAAAGTGAGCGCTTATATACAGCCCTTTACATCCCTTTAAATCAACACCGAAGAGCAATCGAGCTTAGCGACTCTGGGCTGCCCATAGTCTGAGCAAGACCCCTAGAGTCTCCCTGAATGCCCTCTTTCTGATTGTGATCAGTGCTGGGTTTTGCCAAACTTAGCATGAATGGGAGATGTCGATGTCCTTTTCATGTTGCAAACACCAGTGGATGGCACTCACAGATTGCTCTCTGCTGTTTAAAGAGATATCGAAGGCACCCAGACGACTTCAGCTCATTGAAGTGGTCTGGGTGCAGTGTCCCTGTCCCACTAAGTCCTGCATTGTAAATCATTGCAGGTTTTGAGAAAATGCAATGTTTGCATTGCAGGTCTTAGACTGCCTCTAATGCAGGGGTTCTCAACCCAGTCCTCAGGACCCCCTACGAGTCCAGGATTTGGGGATTACCTGGGTGTGTCTCAGGTGTTTAGAAAAAGGGGGGGGGGGGAAAAACCTTAGACTCTAAGGTGTTTTTTTCTTATTTTTCTAAACACCTTAGACACACCCAGGTAATCCCTAAACCCTGGACTGGTAGGGAGTCCTGAGGACTAACGTTGAGAACCCCTGCTCTAATGGCTGTCAATCAGACAGCCACTAGAGGCACTTCCTGGTGGCTAACTGAGCTTTGGTTGCGTGACGCTGGACACCCTAACGCTCTGCAAGAGGATATCCAGCATCAGTAAAATCCCCATAGGAAAGCATTGAAGTTGACGTTGGAGGAGGCACAGTGCCGACCCCAATGCCGAGGGAGATTGGCGCTGGAATCGGGTAAGTGTAAAAGATTTTGTAACCCTTTCCATGCCAGGGAGTAGGGTGGGCTGTGAGGGAGGGGTATATATATATATATATATTTATACAGTGGGACCTCGGTTTACAAACGACTCAGTTATCATAATTTTCGGTTTACAAATGAAAATCCATTGAAAATCATGCCTCAGTTGACAAAGGTTTTTGCAATCCAAAGCAAGTTTCCCCAGGATGCATTGCACCTGGGAGGTTTATAGCACCGTCCCCTGCATGCTGGAGCCTGTGGGTAGCACGTGGCGTCAGGTGTGGAGGTGTTGGAGCGGATTTTGCATTGAGCTTTGGAGCCATTCTGGAAATTGTTTGCAGTTGTTTTGGGACTTTTTGGTGGATTTCTCAAGCTGTAGAAAGGTAGGGAGCTGAGCTTCGTCATTTGCATGCCTTTTATTGTGTGTTCTGCATTGTGGGTTGGTTTCCATGCCAGCTCATTTTGACTTTTTTCTGACCTCCAGAACGGATTGATTGGTTTTCAATGCATTCCTATGGGAAACCACGTTTCAGTTTACAAATTTTTCGCAATAAGAAACATCCCGGAGAATACATTAAATTCGTAAACCGGGGTCCCACTGTATATTCCTTACACTTTAGAATCCCTTTAAGTAGGGAAATCTTTCAGCAGAGGGAATTCCTCTGAGTTAGGGATAAGGTTAAGAAAGGGTTGGTGTTAGCATTACTGCAGGATAAGGTTTAATGCTGTTTTAGGGCTATATTACGTGTAGAGAAACTGCTATGTTTACACTGCAGGGTTAATCCAGCCTCTAGTGGATGTCTCCCTGACAGCCACTAGAGGCCACTTCCGTGATTCTTAGTGTGAAAATTGTGTTGAACGCACGCAGTGTGAGTTCAGTTTCCCATAGGAAAGCATTGAGTAATGCTTTCCTATGGGCGGTTTGAATGCGCGCGCGGCTGTGGCCGTGCATGCGCATTCGGCTTCACTCAGGAGCTGACGTCGGCAGGGGGAGGAGTGGTCACCAGCGCCAAGCGAGCCCGGCACTGGATTAAGGTAAATGGCTGAAGAGGCTTTTAACCCCTTCAGCCCAGCAGGAGGGGGGACACAAGGGAGGGGGCGGGGGGGGGTGGGGGACCAAATAACCCTATTTTAACCCAGTTTCTCTGAAACTGCTATTTTTACATCTGAAAGGTTAAAACCTGGGGGACCTGGCACCCAGACCATTTCATTGAGCTGAAGTGGTCTGGGTGACTATAGTGTCCCTTTAAGTTCTTTTTTGTGGGTAGTTATAGAAAAAATAGTTATAGAAAAAAAAACTGAAAACCTTAAAGTTGCCAAGCAATTAGAAAGGTCCCTGGGGTAATGTACCCTCTCCATGTTTTTTTATGGAAAGATTTATGAGAGCAACTTTATTACAAAATATTTTATTACCCTATTTACCTTTAAACTCAACCTTGAAGCTTGTATAAGACATTGCAAATCTATATTCCTGATAGTTTGCATACAGTGTAAGCTATAGACTATTGATTACATTTCTCAAAGTCATCTGTAGATTAAAAATGTGCTGACTGTTCCAGTAACAGATGAATGACATTTAGAAAGGAATATGTAATAATTAACATTGTTATTCCCCCCTAATTGTCTATCAGATAAATGTTTAACTTCCTTGCTTGCTTAGCGCAGTGCAGCTAAACCCAAGAGGCAGGTAAATTCTCAGAGCACCTGCCTTGCTTATCATTGAGAAGCAATGGGATATATGTAATTGGACAACTGCAGAAAATATGGGTTGGGAGGGGAAAAAAAAAAGTAGAGAGCTTGCAAAGGCAGCAGACATGTGATATGCAGCTTTTGCCAGTTGCTTTAGATATATCCCAATTAAAAATTTTATAATTAAATGCACGCTTATTATCAGGCTTCCGCATAATGATGAGAAATAAGTATAACATAAACTCCGTTTTATACTGTATGCAAAAAACACCCATTATGCTAGTCAAACTCCTTGGAAAGGAAAAACAATAGAAACATAGAATGTGATGGCAGATAAGAACCATTCGGCCCATCTAGTCTGCCCAATTTTCTAAATACTTTCATTAGTTCCTGGCCTTATCTTATAGTTAGGATAGCCTTATGCCTATCCCATGCATGCTTAAACTCCTTTACTGTGTTAACCTCTACCACTTCAGCTGGAAGGCTATTCCATGCATCCACTACCCTCTCAGTAAAGTAATACTTCCTGATATTATTTTTAAACCTTTGCCCCTCTAATTTAAGACCATGTTCTCTAGTTGTGGTATTTATTTTATATTAAATATAGTCTCCTCCTTTACTGCATTGATTCCCTTTATGTTTCTATCATATCCCCCCGTCTCGTCTTTCCTCCAAGCTATACATGTTAAGATCCTTTAACCTTTCCTGGTAAGTCTTATCCTGCAATCCATGAACCATTTTAGTAGCCCTTCTCTGAACTCCATCTAAAGTATCAATATCCTTCTGGAGATACGGTCTCCAGTACTCCGTACAATACTCCAAGTGAGGTCTCACCAGTGTTCTGTACAATGGCATGAACACTTCCCTCTTTCTACTGCTAATAACTCTCCGTATACAACCAAGCATTCTGCTAGCATTTCCTGCTGCTCTATTACATTGTCTGCCTACCTTTAAATTATCTGAAATAATCACCCCTAAATCCCTTTCCTTAGATGTTGAGGTTAAGACTATCAAATATTCTGTACTCTGCCCTTGGGTTTTTACGTCCAAGAAGCATTATCTTGCACTTATCCACATTAAATGTCAGTTGCCACAATTCTGACCATTTTTCTAGTTTACCTAAATCATTTGACATTTGGCTTATCCCTCCTGGAACATCAACCCTGTTACATATCTTTGTATCATCAGCAAAAAGACATACCTTACCATCAAGACCTTCTGCACTACCACTAATACAAATATTAAAGAGAATGGGTCCAAGTACAAATCCCTGAGGTGCCCCACTAGTAACAAGACCTTGCTTTGAATACACTCCATTGACTACAACCCTCTGTTGCCTGTCACTCAGCCATTGCCTTACCCATTCAACAATATTGGAATCCAAAGTAAAGATTGCAGTTTATTGATAAGCCTTCTATGTGCAACAGTGTCAAAAGCCTTACTGAAACCTAAGTAAGCAATGTCTACTGCACCACCCTGATCTATTATTTTAGTTACCCAATTTCTATCGGTATGCCATCAGTTTAATGCAAAAAACACGGCATTGAGCATTCTTAAAAGTATATGAAATCAAATCAAACTACCACTATGGTCCAATATTCCCCTCGAAAGACTACATCCTGTGCTTGTGTTCTAATTGTTAACTTTAGATAAACAGAAAAGTATACCTTCCAACATTATTAGATTTCAGTACCTTGTCGTACATTTTGTAGAACACATCCAATTGCTTTGCTTCATACTTCGGATCAAACGTATAGTAACATTTCTCCCAGTCCGCCATTATCCCCCAGCGAATGAAAGAGGATTTCTGCTTTTCGATTGCCTTCTCTGCAAACACCCTAGCTAAATGAAATAGCAGGGATGGTTTAGTTACATAATTTGAAATTAAAATTAAAAACAAATACCACACTTGTCTTATTGTAAGACATATTGGTCAAGTTTACATGAAAATGCTGACAGAGTTTGCTAAATATATAGCACTTGGGCACCTAAATTGTTATCATTTACTGCTAGCTTGTTTGACGTTTTGTTATTATATTAATACAGCTTTACAATGGCTCCTGAGTTACACTTAAAAATAAAGCCTTTATAATTTGGTAAGTGCTACCTTTCATCCTTAAAATGTCAGATCCTCTTTAGCGCTCTATTCTCACAGATCCAGGGATGAAAGACATATTTACTGTTGCCAAGTGATACAGGACACCTGTTTCAAATGCTCTTGATAAATTGTGAGTGAAAATGAGGGTCATTCACTGAAGTAATACTGAGACACTGTTCCTATCCATGTTCCAAATTTGCTCTCAGTTTCAGTAGAGAGGGCTATATAGGACCAAGCAGCTTTTATATTGACCTCCAGCAGCTATCAGCTAATATTAATTCCCAACTTCTATCCATCCCAAATTTCTTCTGACCCTCACTGGCTATCTCCCCATAGAACACTACCCTCTACCCTGGACGCTGCAGCCCAGCTCCAAATTTGCACCTTGATGAGAACACGCCCCCAACCGTGGCAGACTAAATCAACATGCTACCTGCAGAGATGCTCCCGTTCTGCTGAACGCTGCTAGAGTAAGTCACGCACCCAGTCTGACTTCCTCCACTACAAATTCATGTTGCATTCATACAGCATAGCCCTTGCCAAACAGTCATACTTTCCCCCCCTCATTAGCTCATGCAATCCCAGGCATCTGTTTAGTAGCTTTAACTCTCTTCTTTGCCCTGCTGTGGCCACCCTTAAAACTAATCTTACAGCCGATAGTTGTGCATGCTACTTCATCGGCAAGATTGAACAGCTAAGGAAAGAATTCCCACCACCTTTCCCCTCTCTTTCTCAACCACATTTGGATCATGCCTTTCCTACCCTTCAGACTTTCTCCCAGGCTACTGAACAAGAGGTGGCTGCATTTCTCCTTTCCTCTCACCCCACCACTTGCCCGCTTGATCCTGTCCCGTCTCACCTGATTAGATCTATCTCCTCTAGTTTTGTGCCTTCCTTAACACATATCTTCAACTGCTCTCTCTTTTCTGGTGTTGTCCCTGCTGCCCTTAAACATGCTACTGTAGTACCCATCTGAAAAAAAAACATCTCTTGACCCATTCTCCCCTTCTAACTATCGTCCCATATCCCTGCTCCCTTTTTCCTCAAAGCTTCTGGAAAGACTTGTCTTTACCCGTCTGACTTGTTTCCTCAATTCCAACACTCTCCTTGACCCTCTTCAGTCTGGCTTCCGCCCTTCCACTCTACTAAGACTGCTCTTATTAAAGTCACTAATGACCTAATCACAGCTAAATCCAAAGGGCACTACTCCATACTAATTCTTCTTGACCTCTCTGCTGCCTTTGACATTGTTGACCATGTCCTCCTTCTCCAAACTCGGTCTCTGTGACACTGTCCTCTCTTGGTTTTTCTCTTATCTCTCCCAACGCTCATTCAGGGTCTCCTTTTCTAATGATACCTCCTCCCTTCGTCCTGTCTCTGTTGGAGTCCCCCAAGGCTCTGTACTTGGTCCCCTTCTATTTTCTCTTTATACTGCCTCACTTGGCAAACTTATCACCTCATTTGGATTTCAATACCACCTGTACGCTGATGACACCCAGATATATTTCTCATCTCCAGACCGCTCCCCTGCCGTTCTGCAACGTGTCACTGTTTGCCTTTCTTCCATCTCTTATTAGATGTCCTCCCGGTTTTTGAAACTCAATTTCTCTAAAACTGAACTTCTTATCTTTCCTCCTACCAATAATGATACTCCTCTCTCGATCTCCCTTCAAGTTGGTGGTACCCACATCAGCCCATCCTTGCAAGTATGCTGTCTTGGTGTTACATTTGATTCTGGCCTCACATTTGAGTCTCACATGCAGTCTGTTACCAAATCCTGTAGATTACACCTTAAAAACATAGCCCACATCTGCCCCTTTCTTACGTAGGATGCTATTAAGGAGCTTGTCCATGCTCTAGTAATCTCTCGCATTGATTATTGTAACTCTCTCCTAATAGGTCTTGCCACAAGTCGTATTGCCCCGCTACAGTCTGTAATGAATGCTGCAGCTAGACTGATTTTCCTCTCCTGTCACTCCGCTCACATCTCTCCCTTCTGTCAGTCCTTGCATTGGCTTCCAGTATCCTATACAAGTCAATTCAAGGTACTAATCCACACCTATAAAGCACAAACCAATTCTAGCCCCTCCTATATCTCTTCATTGATCCGCAAGTACGCCCCTTCTCGGTCTCTCCGCTCTGCCCATAACCTTCTCCTGTCCGCTGCTCGCACCCGTACGGCCAACTCACGCTTGCAGGACTTCTCGCGGGTAGCTCCTTTCCTTTGGAATAGCCTGCCTATGACCATCAAGCTCTCCCCTAGTCTTTAAATCATTTAAAAAGTGCCTCAAAACCCCTCTCTTTAGGAAAGCTTATGGCCTTCCAAAGTAACCTCTACCTCACATACCTGTCTCCTGCTCTCTCCTAAAGGTTAGCACTCTATTCTCTCCTCCAGCTCTGCTTCACTCCACATTGTTTGATTGCTACCTGCTGTCCTGTTGTGTTTTACGCCCCACCTCCTATAGACTGTAAGCTCGTTCAACCTATTGTTCCTGTAAGTTTTTGTAATTGTCTCATTTATTGTTAAATCTCCCTCTTTGATAATATTGTATAGCACTAAGGAATATGCTGACGCTATATAAATACCAGCAATAATAATAATTTGTATTAGTACATGGATTTATCTCAAACATGGCTGGGCTTTTTATTCCATAATGACCAGGTGTTGGGAAAATGCGTTCACATAACAACATGCCCGACATACCTTTAAATAACTACTAAAGAAATAAAGCCAAATACATTTTAAATGTTTCTCTGCTTCAGCACTTAATGTTATCTATAGCTTGCATGGTTGTGGAAATAAAATATTTACAATAGGAATATTTAGTAAATGTCCAATTGAAATAAAAAATAAAAAAAAAGGATTTTAATGTGGATGTTTCTGTTGAATAAGCAGTCACAATTTAGAATTTTTAAAGGCAGAGGTGGCTTTAAGCTATCAAAGTCTATCCTTTTCGTTGTGAGACACAGCAGTGGTACCTTTACTTCTGATTTCCAGTGCAGAAAGATTTTCAGCTTCCTCTCCTAACTCTGCCAGAGCTCTCAGTTCAATAGGTAGGCCATGGCAGTCCCAGCCAGGCACGTAGCTCACCTTATAGCCCCTCATCATGTGAAAACGATTGGTTATATCCTTCAAAATCTATAGAATGCAAGCAGAAAACATCGAACATTACAGCAAACAGACTATAATGCAAAATTTGATTATCCTCATCAGTCAAGAATTTTGAATTCTGAATAGTGATTCCCGTTATATATTTAAATAGTGGCACATGTACACGTTCTTGCTATATGTTCTAAAGAAAGCACTTTCTGACAACACCAGTTAACCATGCTCATTATGGATACAATAAGTTAACGTAAAGCAATCTGTATGGCTGTTAGATGCATGTTGGAACATACCCACTGTACGTAGACATTAGAAGATATTTACAATTTATTAATATAATGAATGTGGTATATTATCTGTGGATGTGGGTATCTTTTACATGTGGTACACTATCTGTGGTCAACTGTACAGACGTCATATAAATGTAGCCAATGTTCCACGTTATGTAAAAGTGCTAGGATAGTGAGAAATGCCACATAGAATACTATAAAACACATAATTACATAAATATAAATCAGTGAAAAGGTGAGTAAGCTTTTTTTTTTTTACTCCTGCAACAGTGACTAGAACACTATAGCATTAGGAATACAGATTTAATGTTCCTTTAACAAAATAAAAGAGTACTGTACATTCCATAAAACAGTGCAATCCCGCCAATTCTGAGAATTATAACATACCTTATTAAGGGCATGGCCAACATGAGGGTCACCATTGGCATAAGGGGGTCCATCATGAAGGCTAAATTCCTTCTTTGTTTTTCTTCCTTTTTGCCAGTTGTACAGTTCTAAAAACTTACTTTCCTGTGTGGACAAAATAAATATTGCTAATATACATTAAAAGAACATTGCAACTGCTTCGCTGAGACACTATTGTTTTCCTGGCACTATAGCTTCCTATAGTGCCCCCCTATCTGGTGGCTACCACCCGCGGTACAGTAAGGGTTAAAAAACCCTTTAGACACTTACCTGATTACAGTGCCGATGTCCCTCGGTGCTGGCTTGGGCTCTGCCTCCACTCCTCCCCTGTCACCGTCTACTGGTGGGAGAGATTTAATGCGAATACACATGTATGATGCTTTCCTATGGCTTTTTGGGTGACACTGGACGCTACCATGTGTAGCGTGAGAATGTCCAGCGTCAGGTGAATCGTCCCGGAGAGATCCTCTCGTGGCTATCTGGTAGATAGCCACTAGAGGTGGAGTTAACACTAGCAGGCAGTTATTGCAGTTTCTTGTTTTCCTGGCACTGCAAGTCCCCTCTCGCTCCTACCCCCCATCCCAGGTTGCATAAAGGGTGAAAACCCCTTCAGTGACTTACCAAAGTCCCCGCCGATGTCTCTCGGCGCTGGTCCAGGGTCCGCCTATGCTCTTCCCCCACCGACGTCAGTCGGCGGGGGAGACCTAATGCGCATGTGCGGCCGCCGGCGGGGGAGACCTAATGTGCATGCGCTGCATTAGACCTCCCCATAGGAAAGCTTTGAAAATGCTTTCAATGCTTTCCTATGGGGATTTTAGCTACGCTGGAGGTCCTCACATACCTGTGCTATGAACCAGGAAGTGCCCTCTAGTGGCTGTCTAGCAGACAGCCACTAGAGGAGGCGTTAACCCTGCAAGGTAATTATTGCAGTTTATAAAACCTGCAATAATTACACTTGCAGGGTTAAGGGTAGTGGGAGTTGGCATCCAGACCACTCCAATGGGCCGAAGTGGTCTAGGTGCCTGGAGTGTCCCTTTAAAAACTGCAAAAATTATCTTTGCAGGGTTAAGTGACCTGGGACACTTCACCCAGACCACTTCAATGAGCTGAAGTGGTCTGGGTGCCATTAGTGCCACTTTAGGTGTGAATTGTTAAATTTGCTTTAGATTTACTTCCTGACAATTTGCACTGTAGTTATAAATCCTGTCAGAAGGCAGTTGTAAAGTCACTATAAATTTAATAACAATGTATAAAACAAAGAAAACTGAAAAAAAAGTACAATATCAGCTTTTATAGGATTCATAAAACCTAAATAAAATATACACAGCACTGTTTATTACGTAATAAAGTATAAAACACATGCAATAGGAACATATATTCGCAATTCATTTAAAGGATATATTAATTATTCGCTAATCTCCTAATTGTATTCAAATTATAATCAGAATAGAAAAATTTGACAAAAATAGGTCATATGAAATCATTATCCAACACAGCTATAATCACATCTTGGCTATTTTAGCTTCAATTTAGAAATGTTTTAATTCTGCACATTTTAAGGTTAAGTGAATATCTATGAAAGCTGTTAAAACAGAGACTTCAAATGGCTGTGTTATAGAAGAATTGTAATGCCACGAAATACAACAACGCAGCATTGTTACAAAGCCAATAACACTGACATGCAAAGCTACAGCAGGGGTATGTAAGGAATAATTGACGACAGGCTGTTGAATTATTAGAAAAATGCATTATTTTTTCTAATAATTCGACGGCCTGGAGTCAATTATTCCGCTTATACAATAGTTACCACACCTCGAAATATTGTTCAGATGATGTATTTCAAGACGTTTGTCAAGTTTTTGTCATTAAAACGCTATTGTATGCAGGACTAATTTCTTACGCAACTGTAATGCGGTCAAGACCTGTCTGGAACTACTTTAGCTGTGCGTCTCCCTGAAAATAATGCACACTTTAGAACGTTCGTCAACCAAGCAGATTGAAGCATTCAACGGCCCTGTAGTATAAAAAGCAATATATCCAACCCCTGTATCCTTAGAATACAGGGATTTCCCTTTAGTAAAGTGTAAAGAACCAATCCCAATGTAATGTTCTCAAGCTGTGGGTCAGTGAGGGCTAAGTCTTGGTACTCCAGTTTTATGGAGTGTATTTCCCAGCCAGCCATGTGAGTGCCATAGGAAACACAAAGCACACAGAGGCCTGGCACAGACCTACACCTATCCCTATCCAGTATCCCTATCCCTAATCAGTATCCATATCCCTATCCAGTATCCCTAATCAGTATCCCTATCCAGTATCCCTATCCCTAATCAGTATCCCTATCCCTAATCAGTATCCCTATCCCTAATCAGTATCCCTATCCAGTATCCCTATCCAGTATCCCTATCCCTATCCAGTATCCCTACCCCTATCCAGTATCCCTATCCAGTATCCCTATCCAGTATCCCTATCCCTATCCAGTATCCCTACCCCTATCCAGTATCCCTATCCCTATCCAGTATCCCTATCCCTAATCAGTATCCCTATCCCTAATCAGTATCCCTATCCAGTATCCCTATCCCTAATCAGTATCCCGATCCAGTATCCCTATCCCTAATCAGTATCCCTATCCCTAATCAGTATCCCTATCCCTATCCAGTATCCCTATCCCTATGCAGTATCCCTATCCAGTATCCCTATCCAGTATCCCTATCCCTATCCAGTATCCCTATCCCTATCCAGTATCCCTATCCAGTATCCCTATCCCTATCCCTATCCAGTACCCTATCCTATCCAGTATCCCTATCCAGTATCCCTATCCAGTATCCCTATCCAGTATCCCTATCCAGTATCCCTATCCAGTATCCCTATCCCTATCCAGTATCCCTATCCAGTATCCCTATCCCTATCCAGTATCCCTATCCCTATCCAGTATCCCTATCCCTATCCAGTATCCCTATCCCTATCCAGTATCCCTATCCCTATCCAGTATCCCTATCCCTAATCAGTATCCATATCCCTATCCAGTATCCCTATCCAGTATCCCTAATCAGTATCCCTATCCCTATCCAGTATCCCTATCCCTAATCAGTATCCCTATCCCTAATCAGTATCCCTATCCAGTATCCCTATCCCTATCCAGTATCCCTACCCCTATCCAGTATCCCTACCCCTATCCAGTATCCCTATCCCTAATCAGTATCCCTATCCCTAATCAGTATCCCTATCCCTATCCCTAATCAGTATCCCTATCCAGTATCCCTATCCCTAATCAGTATCCCTATCCCTAATCAGTATCCCTATCCAGTATCCCTATCCCTATCCAGTATCCCTATCCAGTATCCCTATCCCTATCCTGTATCCCTATCCAGTATCCCTATCCCTATCCAGTATCCCTATCCCTATCCAGTATCCCTATCCCTATCCCTATCCCTATCCAGTATCCCATGTGGCCCCTGACCTCTTGCACTCTCAGCTCGCTGCCTGGGTCCCTCCTGGCCGGGAAGGCTGTGGTTGGTAGTAGCACCGTGTCCCGGTATTTCCTCTGGCTGGAGCTCTCATGGCTGCTGCTCAGCCCCGAGGAAGCCCTCACCCTCCAGGGACAGCGGGTGAGAGACCCCCGGCAGCGGAGCAGGGTCAGCATGATCCACAGTGACAGCTACAGCAGCTACGGCAAGCGGGGAGGGTCAAAGAAAGGGAGCCTGCGAGGGACAAACCACGCCGAACTCACAGCAACGCGTTCACAGATCACACTCAGCCACATGGCTAAATGGAGTTATTTCATATTTGGCATATGCTGCAGACCAAACTGGTAGCGTTTTCACCAGATATAAACCAGATCTCACAAAAAAAAAAACACACACAACTCCCATCAAGCTCAGCTGACTTGGTTGCAGGTTTGCCCATAATGAAAACTGCTTTAGTGGATCTATGGTCTCTGTTAGAGCATGTTTATATTGCTTAAAGGACAACATTTTTTTTTTAAAAGTAACATTTCAGGCGCTATAATATATACACTTCATATACATTAAGTTGTTATAGTGCCAGATGGACATGGGTGCACTCTTAATTCAAGAGGTTAAACCCGTTCAAACGGTTTAACTTCCCCCAGAGTTGCCTCCAGCGCCAAAGTCAACTTCCCCCAGGCGGCATCCGTTTTCTGTTATATTTTCTTTCTTATATTCAGCAGATACCTGTTTGTAAAGTCTGAAAAATAAAATAAAAATTTAGAATTGCGTCCGCTCTATTTATTTCTGTCAGGGAATGGAGCGCCTCCGTCATTGGTATAAATGTTGCCTTTTTCTGCCATTGAATATAGTTACAGGAAAGAGTAAAAACAAAAACAATGGGGATATTGAAGTTTTCTTAGAAATGACCTTTAAATTCCATCATTATTTTGATTGTATTTATTAAAGAGGCTCCCTCATCCTATATTTACTTTGCTTCAATATGTTCCTCTTCCTGTCCTCACTCCTAAACTGTAGGGACTATGCCTTGTATTTTTTCTGTGTTTGACAAAACTGGGCAAAAGGCAGAGCTGCCTAGCAACAAATGGGGGAATAAGGCATTTTCTTGCTCATTGCAAGACAGTATCTATGGAGGCTCCCACAGTCTCACAGGATCTTCCATAGACCTCACTGTTGTAGACTCGCACATGCACGTAAATACGGCACTGATGTAGGCTCCATGCAGAAGAAGCGGATTCAACATATGCAGATGGCGATAGCCGTGAGCGAAAGCTTTAGGTGAGTAAAACTTACCTTCCTCTGCACCCCACCGCCACCAGACAACAAGCAGCAAAGTCACCATTGGGAGCCTTTGCAACTTATGGAAAAACTCCAGAAAGTGACAGAGCTATTGTAAAGTGTTCTCGAAAAGGAATTTTTTCTTTACAGTAATTTTCTCCAGTTTTTCATACGTTTCCATTTCAGAACACAACCAAATTTAGAAGTGGCAGGAAAATTCTGCCACTTTCCTGCGCATGTGTTCAAAAATGACACTTACGGTGCAAATAAAGCAACAGAAATTTTATTTTTACAAAATCAGGCAGATTTAATAAAGTGCACTAGAAATCGCCTAAAATTAGACAGAACATTGTCTGCAACACTTTGGCAAATGTTCCTCAATGTTACTTTTCTAATCCTCATTTGCATGGTATGCCCTTTTGTTCCTGAATATAAATGGAGTGTGGTTTCACCTGCCAAAATCTTTATGTTGATTTCAAAGGGAAACCTAGTGGAAAATTCCAGTCTTGCCTAAAATCCCAATGTGCCATGTAACCATGCCCAAAGTTCAAAGGTCAGCAATAGTAGAGTCTAGCGAGTGGATGTCATTGTGTCTTGTAAAACAGGCCGCATTGTAAAACGATTTAACATGTTCATTTTTATTGACTTTTTTCTTCTTTATTGTTCTTTTCTAGTTTCAATGCTTTTTGCTAAAGTCACCTTACTATAAGATCAATAATCTTAATGGGTACATATCTACTGGCAGATTCAGAAAAATTGATTGTTTTTGATCAATATAACACCCTGATGACAGAACCTTCTTTTCAACACTGTTGCACATAGAAGGCTTATCAATAAACTGCAATCTTTAAGTTTGGATTCCAATATTGTTGAATGGGTAGGGTAATGGCTGAGTGACACTCAACAGAGGGTTGTAGTCAATGGAGTATATTCGAAGCTTGGGCTTGTCACCAGTGGGGTACCTCAGGGATCTGTACTTGGACCCATTCTCTTTAATATTTTTATTAGTGATATTGTAGAAGGTCTTGATGGTAAGGTATTTCTTTTTGCTGGTGATACTAAGATATGTAACAGGGTTGATGTTCCAGGAAGGATAAGCAAAATGGCAAATGATTTAGGTAAACTAGAAAAATGGTCAGAGTTGTGGAAACTGACATTTAATGTGGATAAGTGCAAGATAATGCATCTTGGACGTAAAAACCCAAGGGCAGAGTACAGAATATTTGATAGAGTCCTAACCTCAACATCTGAGGAAAGGGATTTAGGGTTGATTATTTATGATAATTTAAAAGGTAGGCAGACAATGTAATAGGTATGACAACAAACAAAAAGTAATTTATACAACTCCGCAGTGAAGTATAAACTAAACAATGGGATAGCACACAAGATATAGAGGATACAACCTGTACAACAGGAGGTGATCTATGGAAGATCTAGAAATTTAAAATCACAAATAGTAAACTATGTAAAGTAAAGGTAACTTAATCCAGGAGGTAGAAAACTTACAAAAAAACAAAGATGTTCTGCGCTTATCTCCCCTCTGGCGTATGTAAGAGATGGTGTAGTCTCCTCCTTATCCGATAAATCCTCAGGGGGATAAAGAAAATAGCAGATAGAGTAGTACTGTTAAAAAGTAACAAAATTGAATACACTTACATCAATGCTGAAATTAGCTAGCATATCTCCACTAGTGGAACAAGGTAGAAATGTCCACAGTAAGCATTGCGAAAGTGCATCAATAGACAAATTATGATAGGTTCACTTTGAACAACCGCTGGAGTTACGTTTTATTTATTGGTTTAGAATAGTTGCATGCGATTTTTGTGACTTTAAATGACCACTATAGTGCCAGGAAAACATACTCGTTTTCCTGGCACTATAGTGCCCTGAGTGTGCCCCCACCCTCATGGTTCCCCTCCCACCCGGCTCTGGGGAGAGGAAAGGGGTAAAAACTTACCTTTTTCCAGCGCTGGGCGGGGAGCTCTCCTCCTCCGATCCTCCCATTCGGCTGAATGCGCACGCGGGGCAAGAGCTGCGCGCGCATTCAGCCGGTCTCATAGGAAAGCATTTACAATGCTTTCCTATGGACGCTTGCGTGCTCTCACTGTGATTTTCACAGTGAGAATCACGCAAGCGCCTCTAGCGGCTGTCAATGAGACAACCACTAGAGGATTTGGAGGAAGGATTAACCCATTTGTAAACATAGCAGTTTCTCTGAAACTGTTATGTTTATTAAAAAAATGGGTTAATCCTAGCTGGACCTGGCACCCAGACCACTTCATTAAGCTGAAGTGGTCTGGGTGCCTAGAGTGGTCCTTTAATAGTTAGTTTGTTCTTACAGTTCCTTATTTTTTTTTTTTTTATGTGTAAATTTGTATGAGTTGCAGTTGGTCTTTTATGTTTGTTTTTGAAGAAAAATGCATTTATCTATTTTTTTTTAATTAGTATTTTTAACTAAAGTTCAATTGGCAGCGTTCTCTGAGTGCACACTCTAATGTAATGTGCTGTGCATGCCTATGATTGATGGCATTGGCTATGGCCTCATGGTCATTGTCCTGTACAGAAAGTGCCCAGTTACATTACTCATTGTATAAGAGTAGCAAATCTGATCTTTCTAGGACCCAGGAGAAGACTATTCTGAACCAGGAAGTGCATAGCAGGGCATGAAGTATATAGAGATATGTTGAATGCTTTTTCTCATTTATTGAGACCTGCTTCAGTTTACAGGATACACTCTGCAGGTATGTTCCTTTTCTATATTAAGCATAGATTTAGAACCAATAGGGGTGTAAAAACATGACCACTGTACTTTAACCTTGTATATAAATATATAGATAATATTAATGTAATGTTTCGGCTGTCACATTTGTGAAAGTTTTACAAATGACTGTGTGCCTTTCTCTTCTATAGAGACAAATATTATTATTATCGACATTTATATAGCGCCAACAGATTCCGTAGCCTTTTACAATATTGTAAGATTGGAGATTTAATTATAAATAGGACAATTACAAGAAAAATTACAGGAACTATAGGTTAAAGAGGACCCTGCTCAAACGAGCTTACAGTCTATAGGTAAGGATATTGAATCATTTTAAATATAATTGGAGGTAAATTTTAGTGTTTTAATTACGGTCAGGCTGCCCATTTTCACATATATATACAAGGTAAGTCATTAAAGGGAGGATCTAAAGTGATTTTAAAATTTTAGACCAAAGTAGCTAAACGCTGATTGACACTGAAATTTTCCAATTCTGCTTCCTGGCCTTACTTTTCAAATTCACGTTGAATTCACCTTAAATTCTCACTTTAGAGAACAACCCTGATAGGGATTCTAAGTCTCACATTTAATACAGAGATCATTTGATAATGGGCAAAAAAATATTTAGCAAACTAATTATAGCATCAATTAAAAATACTTAAAATGGATCTGTCACCTGTAAGATTGTATAGAATAAAACTCGATTTTAAAAACGGTTCTTTAGTTATATGAATGTGTCTTCTTTATTTTATCATTTGCTTAAAATTATACTTAAAGGGCCACTGCAAGCAAACTAACCCTTAACATGTAATGCCCCCTTTACGTGTGGCATGATGATCATGAAATGTAAATCCCTTGTTTTCTTCAGTAGCATGAGCTGTATTATGACCAGTGGCATATAAACCAGCACTTTTAATTACTCACTGCATACAATAACCTGTACAGGTAATGAGAAAGGTAGATGTCCTTATTATGACCTTGCCGGTAACTGAAAAGAACTACACAATATGAAAATGAGGGACACTCATGATCTGAACACCACAGCCTTACAATATGCTATAGTGGTTATGGTGCTTGGAGCATCTCTTTAGATTATAGTCAGGTTAAAATTAGCCTCCATGAATGAGTGACAGCTGATATCACCAGCATTTTCTCAAACAATGCAAGATTAAGGCAGGCAGAAAAA